AAAAAGAATGCTCCTTGGGTTTGGAAAGATGAGCAGCAAGCTGCGTTTGATGAGCTGAAACGGCTGTTGGTTACGTCACCCATCCTAAAGCAAGTCGACGAAAACCTGCCATTCGTCATTAAAACTGATGCCAGTGGTTACGCACTAGGGGCAGTTTTGATCCAGGGGGAGGGTTCCGATGAACACCCCATAGAATATGCCAGCAGGCTATTGACAAAAGCAGAGCAAAACTACTCTACGATCGAGAGGGAAGCTCTTGCCATCGTATGGGCTGTCCAAAAGTATCGTGGCTACATTGAGGGATCCGAGGTAAAACTAATCACGGACCACCGGCCGCTTAAATGGTTGATGACGCTAAAATCACCGACTGGACGCCTAGCGCGATGGGCATTGCTTTTACAACCCTACGACTTGCACATCGACTATAAGCCAGGGAAGACAAATGTTTTGGCTGACATGTTGTCAAGGCCACCTTGTGAAGCCAGACATGACTCCAAGAATCCTGCCACATATGCTCGTTCGCTGTTGATTTTCTGCGACGAGGAGCGAAGGAAATCCGCGACAGCCAACTTAGCGACCCCTACCTAAAAGCTATTATCGAGTGCTTCGAAGAAAATACCGATGATGCGGCTCATTGGGCCAAGAGAGGATTCACAATGAACGACGGCGTACTTTACTGCTACAAGGATGAAGACAGCGAAGAGGGACAGCTAGTTGTTCCCGAATCCAAGCGTCCAGCAATTTTGAATCACTACCACAACAAAGACACAGCGGGTCATTATGGAATCGACCGAACTTTGTCCATGATAACATCGCGTTATTATTGGCCAGGAATTCGGAAAGATGTCGAGAACCATGTCAAGCATTGTGCTGATTGCCAGCGCTATAAGGCAACAAACCTGAAGCCAATGGGCCTATACCAGACGACTTCCAGCAAGCAGCGCTTTGAAGCCTTAGCCATCGACTTGTTCGGACCATTGCCATCCGACACGAATGGGATGCAGTGGATTTACATAGTAGAGGATGTTGCAAGCCGCTGGGTGGAACTTTTTCCATTGAAAGAAGCTTCCGCTGAAACTTGTGCGAAAACGCTCATCGACGAGGTATTCTTGCGCTATGGAGTCCCAAGGCGAATCATTAGCGACAACGGTGTACAATTCGTGTCAGCGATAATGCAAAAAGTTACCTTTTGTCTGGATATACGCCAAGTATTCACGCCAGTATATCATCCACAAGCGAATCCTGTAGAGAGGAAGAATCGCGACCTGAAGACGCAGTTGTCAATTTTGGTGGGCAGACAACACCGCAACTGGGCAGAGAAGTTGCCGGCAATACGCTTCGCCATGAATACGACACGCTGTCAAAGTACCGGGTATACTGCCGCATACCTCACATTTGGGCGTGAGTTAAGAACGATCGATGACGTCCAGCATGATTTGAGAGCTATCATCCATTCAGAGAACTTCATTGCAGAAATCACACCGTATCTAAGCACTCTCGCGGAGGTGCTCCAAGCTGCGAGAGAATGCGAATGCAAACAGCAAGATGCTAATAAAGGCATCACCAATCCACAACGACGTGACCAAGAGGGACTAGAGATTGGTTCCAAGGTCCTTGTGACCACGCATGTTTTGAGTAATGCTGCCAAGGGTGTAACATCGAAATTATTCCACGACGAGATGGGCCCTATATCATTATTGGCAAAGAAGGTGCGACTTCCTACGTGATTGCTCATGAGGACAACCTCCAATATCCATTGGGCACATACCATGCGTCATCACTGACACCATATCGCAGTTCCCGCGATGTTCCTGAGGGTCCCATTAACATGATACGGCGCCGAGGACGTCCCCGGAAAAAAAAGCTTAGGATACTTCATCGGGTCGATTTCAGTATCCTAGGGGGAGACTGTAACGACCGTCATTCATATGTATATTCATTGCTTGAATTTTATTTCATTTAATAGCATACTGTTCAATGTTTTACGTCTAAGCTCTTTGTAATGTCATGTAAAATGCAACTCTGTTTAGTTTGTAAGAAAGCTCTAAAATGCATCACTGACGATCAGCATCGTCATGATCGCCTATAAATACTCGTGCTAGCATTGTAAAACGCGACTTCTCGTCTTAGCGTCGATTGAGTTGGTTCGTCCAATATTGCTTCGGACAACTAACTTCAATAAAGACAATTTTAGTATACACATTAGCTAACGCGTTTCATTCGTTCACGTATACCTTTAACTCCCTCTCTGTTTGCGACTCTCGTCCGGATTATCGGACAGGTCCATCAAGAGGCGTAGTCGCGGTCACTACAAAAATTAAGGAATTGGTGTGATGGGCCAATCCTATGACATTTCATTTAAGGAACGGCAAGTCATACTCTTCATTGGCGCCCAACTCAGTGGCCTCGAATCTCGCCGACGAACCGACAAGCGTGCACAAAATGGCGACATTTTCGCTCGAGCAATTCTCCCAAATACTAGAAGCGATTTCCAGCGGCGGTAAAAACGGTTCTTTTACACAATGCACGTCGCGCTTTAGAGGACAACGGGATCCAGTAGCGGTAGAGGAATTTGTTGCTGCTATTACAGTATACAAAGACATCGAGAAAATTCCTGATGCTGATGCGCTACGCGGTATGCCACTTTTACTCGAGGATTATGCTGTGACTTGGTGGATAGGTGTGAAAGAATCCGTGTCAACATTCGCCGACGCCATAGAGTTATTACGTGCGACATTTTCTCCTCCAACGCCTGATTGGAAAACTTATTTAAGTGTTTTTGAACATAAGCAACAAGTGCGCGAAGCCTCTGATAGCATTATTTGCAAGAAGCGGTTGTTGTTCTCACAATTGAAAGACACCGTCAGCGAAGGGGTGCAACTAAATATGATATACGGCCTCCTGTCAGTGAAGATAAGAGAGCGCGTGCATCGTGATGCATTTTCGACGTTCGATGAACTCCTATCACGTTGCCGAGATGCGGAATTGTTTCTGGCTGAATCCAATCAACTTCCGGCGCTAACATCGACGATGCCGTTTCCCCAGAAATATCTCCTGAAAGAAACTATGGACCAGCAGTAAAAGAGAAACGCTCACACTCAAACGACTACTCTCCACACTCAGTGCAGCAAATTTTCAAAAGTTCACTACCAGTTGACGAATCTACGCCCGAAAACTCCTCTCGTCTATTTGCGCCTCCAATTAAGGTAAAGATTAGTGGTTACAAGAGTTTTGCGAAGAAAATTTTTTCCCGTTGAACTCTCTTGAGTTGAGTCCACCAACTCAGACAGGTGGTTGCGATCTCACGCTTGAACAGCGTAGAGATTTGGACAAGCTGTTGCTCGAACATAACGAAGTCTTCGAAGAGTCAACATTTGCAACACCGTTTGCCACACACAGCATCGATACGGGCGAGCATTTACCGATTGCTTCGCCACCATATCGTCTAGCACCGCAGCGGAAGGCTTTGTTGAGACAAGAAATAAACAAAATGCTCAGGATTGGAGTTATAGTGGAATGCGAATGGCATGGGCAGCTCCTGTCGTTATCGTACCCAAGAAGACAGGCGACCTGCGCATTTGCATCGATTACCGAGAACTAAACGCCATCACCAAGCCGGATCGGTATCCTCTTCCGCGGATTGATGACTTGCTGAATGAGGCTAAAGTTACCAATTTCATGTCGACGTTGGATCTACAGGCTGGCTACTGGCAAATCGGCCTAAAGGAACAAGATCAGGACAAAACTGCGTTCGTCACACCGTTTGGCATGTATAAATTTACGCGCATGCCTTTCGGATTTCGAAACGCGCCAGCAACGTTTCAGCGATTAATCGATCAGCTCAAAGCATCTCTAAATAACGTAACAATATTTGCATATTTGGACGATATAATCCTATGTTCAAGGAACTTCGAAGAGCACCTTGAAGAACTTAGTAGACTTTTCAACCGTATACAACAATTTGGTCTCAAGATCAATAAAGACAAATGTCGGTTTGCATGTCGCGAAGTGAAATATTTGGGACACATTCTGTCCCCAGATGGCATAAGAGTGGATTCACAAAAGGTCACAGCAATATCTCTGCGCAAGCCTCCTAAAAATGTTAAGGAGTTGTTATCCTTTCTACAGTCATGTTCCTGGTAAAGACGCTTTGTACACCAATTCGCAGATATCGCAAAACCGCTTTCGCAACTGACGAAAAA